ATCCAGTTGCAGACTCCAACGAACACTGAGTAATATCAAAACCTGACACTGAAGACAACAGTCATGAAAAGCAGGTCAAGGGAATACAAGGGCTACAATGAAGGGACATATAAGAGAATAAATTTCCAAGCCACTGCCAGGGATATTTGGCCTAGGCAGAAAGACAAGGTGCACATTACAGGCCTGGGATCAAGCTCTTAGGCACATGTTTGAAATGGGAGGTTTCCTTTACCACTTCATAATATTTCAGATGTTTACCTCCCTTCGTTGTAAGTGCAGATTCACTAGTGGTTTCTTGCCCTCTAGGTAAAAGGTCTGTATTTCGTCTATAATAAGTGTTACATTACAACAAGCAGCCTAGATATCAGTATTTTACTGGACCAACAGAGACACTCAAGCATCCTAAGATTCATGGCCCAGACTTCTAATAGAAGAAGAAATTAACTTGGTTTGAGCTGCTTCTTCCCTTCTGTTGCTCACCTACAGCTCTTAAGGGTTGCTGCTGTTTTCATGGTACATACACCACTCACAAGCTTCTGTAGCTACTGAAAACTTTCCTATCATGCCAGAATATACAGGATTTTGTTTAGATAAAGCCACTTCCTCCAGCTGAAGCCAGTCTTCCCACAGAGCTGAGCTGAACTGAATAGACATATTCATGTAACATATGGCAGAGCTCAGGAAAGCACAGTTCTAAAAGCTTGTGTGATCTCCCAGGAAATGGTCCAAAGCAGAGACCTAATTTCTGCCCCAGTTCTATCTCAGAAGAGCCCTCCTTTCAGAAGCCATGAAGAGAGATGTAAGAAGGGCCCCTATGGACTTAGTTTTCTTAGTGCCTTTAGCGTTGTACTGGAAGAAATCGTTGTCACTTTAAAGATTGTGAGAACCTCTTTAACCAATTAAATATTTTGAAAATATGTATTTAACACCTAATTTTAGATGAGCAAGCTTGAGCTAATATTAAAAAGTTAAAAATGTCTCAGCACAGTTAATTTTGGAATGTTGGCCTTCCAATCCATTTGCCAGTCAATAACAATATCCTTTCATTTACAGCAAGTACAACAGAAGAGATTGAACTGGAAACCATTGAGTGTTAGCCAAGGACTGTATCATAATAAAAATAACAATTCTACCTCAGGAGAAAGTATTGGCCAAGAAAGCAAGAACAAACCTAGAAGGTAAAATGTTTGTGACTACTGCAGAAGCATCCTGACTTGCAAAGTAATTAATTCAGCAGTGCCTGATGGAGCTGTTTCAACCTGTTAAGTTTTTAGTTCTGCTAGTCAAGGTCAGAGTAAAAAAGAGTATGCTTTCATGCTGAGCATGAACACATTTTTGCGGCTAGCTAATAAAATCTACAGCCTCTACCACTCTTAAAAACAACCAACCAACCAACCAACCAAGCCTCTAAGATCAACCCATAAAGGAAATTATCATGGTCTTGAAGGACACCTGCATTTTGGATACAGCAAGTCTCCTATTACAGACAGAGTGGTCATTAGCATCCATCAACATAATAAATTAAATATCTAATTACAGTATTACATTAAAAAATTAATTGCAAGCATTGAATCCTGTTTATTGCACCTATGCTGCTACTTTTGGGTGTCAGGAACTTCCTGAAGCTCTGAAGACAAACTGCAATTTTTCATAAGACAAAACTGACTTTGAAAGAACGCTGAGCTGGTCAAAGTTCTCCCACTTGTGTTTCCAGTTGTTTACACTGCCCCAGGATGGATGTTAACTCACATTTTATGACATTACTAGAGCAGGTGGTTGTACAAGGAACAGTGCAGGCAGGCACTAAAGAGGACACCGTCTGTGAAGATTAGAGGGGTCAGATAAAACACTGACACACAACACCAGTTGGGGTGGCAAAGTGGTGAAGTGAAAGATGTCAAGTCCTTTGCAAACTTAGCCTAGTGCTGAACCATCTATCTGAGAAAAAAAATTATAACAGCATTTCTTTGAAATATAGTATTTACAAATACAGTTCTAAAATTGCTCTTATTGAGAAGCCACCTTTGCTTTCCCTATGTTGTAAGAAAACATGAAAGTGACCCAACTAATCTTTCTTGAATCTGCATATTGCACATACTGCAATTCTCCACCTGTAGATCTGTTGGGTGGAATAACACTTGTGTTTGTCAGTGAGAAAGCAGTGAACTGACCAAGTTCCAAATTATTCTGTTTTGCTTTTGTAATGAAAATTTTGCAGTGTGAAATAAACTTTGAACTTGGAAGACATCATGGACTAGTCTGCGCCTGTAGATTGCCACATTGCTGTTTGAGTCAAACTGCTGGAACTGCCTTTCATCTCACTTGTTTGCAAAAACCTTTTACAGGACAGGCTGACAGAGCTTTGCCTCTGGTCAGGGACTGGGATGCTCAAGTGCAGAGGTACTGTGGGTTCCATTTGGAAAAACATTCAGGGAATTTCTCACCAAGTGCATAACGATGCAGGTAGGCGCCAAACAAGCCAAAGCACCCTGTGCACAATACCTTTAACCCATCCCATCCTGAGCTGGCCATTTGTAGTACAAAGGGCCTCCAACTCATAAAGTGAGGTACCAGGTTCAGCAGTTTGCTCCTTCCTACATCATTCCTTTAACCCATCCCATCCTGAGCTGGCCATTTGTAGTACAAAGGGCCTCTCTCCAACTCATAAAGTGAGGTACCAGATTCAGCAGTTTGCTCCTTCCTACATCTAAAACAGGTCAAAAAAGGTGAGAAATGAAATAAGTATCAGAAACAGCACAGACAAGTAACAGTTTATTCCAATTCTCTACTTTAAATGTATATTGCCCATTTTTGTGTCTGAGTGAACTAAGCTTTGACAGCAGGGAAACTGTAAGTGCATCTACGTCAATCACCAAACTTGAATTACTTGGTAAAGTATGCTTATAGAATATGGAAAACATGTTTGGGGCTCTTTTTTGAGCCCTAAGTCTTAGACTTTGAATGCATCTTACACTTTTAAGGCAAAAAGTATTAAAGCACTTTGAATGCAAAGGTATTAGGCTGAGCTGAATATACAGCAGATGCTCTGCCAGACTTAGAAAGTTCAAAAAGTGCAGCTTAAACATAAAACCACTATTACCTGCTAACATTGACCTGAACACTGCAATTGCCAGAGGAAGTCAGGAAACATATCCAGACATGAATGGCCATTCCAGTGCATTGCTGTGACTGCAGAGCTCACATACACATTTAAACCACAATGTTTGAAAGCTGGCAGCAAAGTAGGAAATGAACACTTAAAATTCTTCAGTTTAAAAGGTACTACAACAAAAGTTTACAGCTAGCATAGTTTTTCTACCTCTTTCAGCTTGGCTGAAGTCACTGCAACTTCAGGCACCCATCCTTGGCTATTAAACCTGGTGCCAACCTCACTTTTAGGCAGTAATATCCCATATGAATAGCGCGGACTCAAACAGTATTCAGAGAGAACATCCAGTACAGTTAACCTGTATGTAGCTTTCTTTATAGACAATTCCTCACCCAAAAATTTTACCCACAATTTAACATGCTTACTCTACACAGGTAACTAACGTTACTTGAAAAATACTGACATTTTCCTGAAAATGCTGTTTGTCACTGTGTATTACTGAGGTCCATATTTGAGGTACAGAATGTGAGGTTAAACTGTAGCAGTTTCTTGCTACTGTGGAGCATCTAAAGTCTTATGGAAGGTTGTTACAATATAAATTCAGAAACAGCTGCTCTTACTGTACTTGCAAACTCCCTGGGGAACAGCAGCAAATTTAATATGTAGAGAATTCTAGATGATCAAAGGGATTAAGGGATTTTACTTTTAAACTTGAATTAAAGAGATGTCCAAGTTCACCAGATTGCATTGGCAATCAATTGGAAAGGTCTTAATCATTCACTAATGTCATCATCTCATATTCAAAGATGCACTACCAAGTTTCAAGACTATCTCTCTTTTAGCTGTCTAATCAGTCTGTTTTCCATTAAAATCAGGAATCCCTGTGTATTCAACACCAAAACACAGACTCCCCAGGTCTCTAACAACTCTCTTTTTTTTGATGTTGTTACTATTATTATTCTTTCTTCAGCTAGACCTAGAAGTCTTTACAAGTGTTTTCATGCTAACACGCAGAGATTGCTGTTCTGCCACACAAGATGTGTCTTTCTTTCCAAGAGAGAAGTCCTGTAACCATGAGACTGTAATAGCTCTACAGTGATCTGATTACTTGGTAACTAAGAACTTACCTGATGAAAAGGCTATTGCTACATGCAGACCTGTCAATTTAGGTTAAGAACAATAAAGCATAAAGACATGTTCAAGTTTCATAGACTCATCTTCTAATTATTAATAAGAGATTTGTTGTGTTGGCAGGAGCCAGAACAGCCTCATCTAGTCAGATGCACGAACACATGCATCAGGCTGTTGGCCGAACTGTTCACCAAAGAACAACCCCCTCTCTGCCTGTAATCTCACAGTGTCTGCTGGCACAGCAATACAGGACCTGGCATCACAGGGGTCCAAGATCAAGAGACTTATTTTCAACGAGGGCTTTTAATTTTCGTCAGTTGTCCTGGGTAACACATGAGCACATGAAAGGAAAACTCTTTCTCTCTCTTAGATCAGTCACACAGAAGCAAGTACTACCAGGAACTGAAACAAGATGCTGCGTGCTGGCCAACACCAATGTAAGTACAAGAACTGCTTTGGATACCTGCTGAGCAGCAGCTTGCTGCTTATTTTCAAACAATTATTCTTTATACTTGACAATACAACAAAATAACAACTGTCACCATGGAAGTGTGATGCTCAATTTGATCATGTTTATGTGCAAGAAGTTCATGTATATACATAAATACAGACACCTCATAAGACAACATGGACATGAATATGAACCAGTTTACACAGACAAGTTGCAAAAAGACCCTTAGCACTTAAGTACCAAACAAAATGAAAGCTTTGTTGAACACCATACTGTAAGTTTCAAGAAGACTACAATTACAACCAAAACTATAAAAAACATGACTTTTATTTTGAAAGAACTCAAGAGAGCTGATATTTGGGAAGATATTATTTCCCTGGATGATAATCATGGAGAATGCAGGAAAAAGACGCAGATGCTCAAGTGTGGAGGTCTACTGCATGAGTTACCTCCTTCTATCCAGTCACTAAGACACAAGTCACCCACAAACTCAAACTGTCAGAACTTGCCAGCCAAGTAAGACCGTCTCCTCTACATACTTGCAAAAAACAAGGTCAAAAAACAAGCAAAGCAGCTGACATGACACAGGCCATCAGAGAGGAAAGACTTTTGCCACAGGCAGTGACTTTGTAACTCTCTCAAGTTAAACTGCCAAGGAAACATATTTCTCAAAAATAAAGGGGTCGCCCAGAATCCCCATCAATGTACAAAAATTCCAACTCAAGAATGCTTCAACTTGAGGACTACCAAATTTAATTTTATAAACAAAAAATACATTAATTACTTATCTATGTCACGCTGGACAGAGCAAATTTCAAAGATATAGATGAAAGGAACTTTTACAAAAAATTGTATGTATTTTATATGCCACTGAAGAAGGTTTTTTTACAAATATCAAAATGGTTATTTCTGTACAGGAAATAAATTTGATTTTGCTTTCTTGTATTGGCCCATAGCTCCCCTCTCCCTTTGCTGCACTGGCAGTTACCACTGCACAGAGACACTTCAAAGCACTCAGAGAGAGACTGATGCTTCACTAGCAAGGAGTTAGGGCAGCCATGAGGAGTTCCATTTTATACACAAAGTTACGCCCTTCCATTTTATTCCACTGCACTTCCTTGAACGGCCCCCGGAGATGATTCCACTTGCTGTCCTGCAGGACATCGCCCTTGGGGAGATCCTTGCACTGGCTCCGTGGAAACTGAACCATGACTTTGCTGCCGCTTTCCGGACCATTACGGACTGTGGGGAAAGGAGATTTCAATGAGCATTTTTACACTGTAGGCACTCCTCATACTAAATATTCTTCCTTGTGTATTCTATACTTCTACTCAATTCCAAACATGCTGAAAGCAAACCAGGGAAATTCTCTTCCTTTCTTTTTAAAAGCTTTTTCTCTGGATTTTCTCTCTCATCTCCCACTTCTCTATGATTTTGTTGCTTTTGCACTGCAGGCTCTTGGTTAGATCAAGACAGAGAAACATTTAATAAACCCCCAAATGCACACCTTACAAATTCATTTCTTTTTCCTTGATGATGCCAGGAAGGGCAAAGGCTTCATTGCTCATTCTTTCTTTGGATGTATTCCCCACTATTCTGTTGAAAAATGCATTGTTTCTAGTGGATTTATCTCAAATAGACAAGATCTAAGTCATTAGGCAGTTACTTTTAATCACAAAATTCTGTGAGATTAGTGGAGGGGTGCTGGTGCTTTGTTGGCTTGGATGGGTTTCTGTGTTTTCATGTTGGGGAGTGGTGTGTGTTGGCTTTTTAAATAAACAGAGAGGTACCACCTAGCTTTTCCCCCATCTGCCAAGCTAACCTTCTACAAAGAGATGACTATCAGGCTGATGGAACAGAATTTCTTTTTCATAAATTGATGCCAACTACTCCTCATCACCACATTCTCTGTAGTATGTTTGGAGAATTCTTCTGAGACTACTTTTTTCCAACTCATCTTCCCAGTAATTGCAATGAGGCTGATCAGACTGTAGTTCCCCATGTTTTCCTTCTTAAATACAGGATGCAACATCTGCCTTCTTCCAGTCCTCAGGAGACCTTCCCAAGCCTGGCCTTTTAGCATCAAGAGTGGCCTTGCAGTGGCATCAATCAACACCTTCAGCAGTCATGGATATATATCCCACCTGGTCCCATGAACTTGCATATGTCTAAGTCTGTTCAAATGTTCTCTAACCTGATCTTCCACTACTGAGGATGAATCTTTGCTCCAAAATTTCCCATGGGTCTCACAGATCCATTTCTGAAGGGCCAGTCTTAAGACCAAAGTAAAGAAGGTACTTGAGTACCTTGGCCTCCTCTGTGTCCTGTGCCACCAGGTACTCTCTCTCTTTAATAGCAGTCCCACATTTTCCCTAATCTTTCCTTGGCTGCTGACATACCTTTTGAAGCTCTTCTTGCTGCCCTGTACATCCCTCACCAGATTGCTATCCTGTCCTTAGCTTTCCTATCCTTACCAATGCATGCTTGGATCTCTATATCTCTCCCAGGACAACTACTTATAATCTCTTGGAGCTTCCTTCCTATGTCATGAGCTCAGCCACAGGCTCCCTGTTCATACATACAGGTCTTCTGTCACTTTTGTACAACTTCCTGAACATTAAGAATGACCATTCTTGAGCTTGACCATTGAAAGAGGTGACCCTTGAAGACAGTAATCAAACAGCACTCCTGGACTCCTCCTCTTTCCATCCCATGGGATCATATCCCATAGGATTCTTTCAAAAAGATCCTTAAAGAGACCAAAACTGTTCTCCCTGAGTTTGGAGTTGTGATCCTGTTGTTTACCTTGTTGCCTACTCTCAGGATCCTGACGGTTTCTGTAATATCTTTTTTTATGCTAATAATAATACATTAATTATATGTATTTACATATTATACAAACAAATATATAATATTTATCAAAACAATATTTTAAAATAATATATTAATATAATACATATGATAGAATACATATAATTTTCCATGGTAAATGTAAGAAATATTTTCAAGTCTGTGTAGATATAATCAGGTTTATATTAAGTGGCTTCCTGGGCAAGGTGTTGATCCTATTTAGATGTCAATTCCATACACAAAAGAGATAGTCTGTAGACTTTTAAAGTATGGTATCAATTTATAGCAAAATATTCTACAAACACTCTCAGAAAGATTTGACTTCTGTTTGCAAGAGGGAACACTACCTGAAATGGCATAGTCTCCATTTGGTGATGCTACAGTTATTGCTGAAGCATTGCCAATGCTCTCCACCGGCCCCAGACCAACGTGATTACTGAAACTCAGCACATGCCATCCCATAACCTTTGCAAGCTGCTGGACTGCATGCACTTGGTGCTGTGACATCTGAAACATAACAAGAGGTTTGTTTTCTGCATTTGCAGACCATAGAAAGAATTGCTGATGTAGTTACTTATAGAAGCGACTAAGTTCTCTACTTTCAGAGGAAATTTTTTTATATGATGGTAGGGCTTTGTGTTATTTGAATTTAGACTAGCTCCTCCACAGAAGAGAGGATCATTCTATTATGCAGTTAAATGATTTTTTCATCAGTATGCACTTAGCCATTTTATTTAAATGCTGCTATCAATTTACAAAAATCTCTATTTATGTCTCAAAAAATTAGTTTGTAAACAATCCTTTCAATAGAAACAAAGACTTCTGCTGTAAAATATATAAAATATGAGAAAATATTAGCAGAGAAAATATTAGCAGAGAAAATTCAGAAAAAAGTTGAGGTTCTCACATGCATGATTATCTCCAGTAATGCTCAAGTCTAAGCACTGAGCTCAAACAGTTTAGGAGTTTAAATGCTAATGTTTTCCTGTATCATGACTTAACCCTTGTAACAAGGAAGTATCCAGCACCATTCAGCAGTTCTCTGTGAACAAGTCTGACAACACTTGAGTAAAAAGACATGACCTCAGCAGAATCTGTTTCAACTTGTTTTCTGTGTCATGGAGTTATATAAAACTGCAACAGGCCAACCACTGTTATTAAAGACCTGTAATTTGACTATTTATAATGCATAGTGGGGAGATTGTTACTTCTGAATAAAATCAGCAGGTTGTTCTAAGCAATTAAGAAAACAGAGTTCATTCAAGTATCAGCTGATTTAGTAACAACAGATGCAAAGTGAGCATTAACAGACAACATTGAAATGACAGTAATTGTGGGTTCATTAAGAACTTAGCTACAGTAAGTTTCATATATAGAATACTTTATTGTCTGCTATGATTACCACTGACTTGTTTCTCCCATAATGAGCAGTATAAAGAAATGCATTTTAAATTGGAGGGAAAAATTATTATGGCTACTGACCCTAGTAAAAAATGGCATTATATTTTAGTAACAGCTGCTAAAGACTCTATACAAACATAGTGAAAATTCAGTCATCCAGCTTCCCTTCTTCACTACCTTAATTTGAACTTTTTTAATATTTTCTACATAGATGAAAGTGAGATTTTAACTTCTTCTGTTTCCCACGAGAAAGGGAAGAATAACATACGTGAGTCTACCTGAGATAAAAGGAAATCCTGCAGTTCTTGCTCTTGATGGGACAATGTAATAACTCTTCCATCTCTGTGCACAACTCTGATTTGTTCAACTCCAATGTTCAGCTGTAGTTGAATGGATCTTTAAAGACAAGATCCATATTTATTCAAAAAGCATTAAAACACTTAAGAAAACAGGAAACTAAGAATACAGAATCCCACCCAATCATTGACAAGAATTCCTAAGACAGACGGAGCAAAGCCTACAGAATGGGACAGCAATTCCAAACATTCCAGTTCCATCTATCACCACAACAGCTGCCTCTGTATGGCAGTTGACATATTCTGTGGCAGTCTCCCAGACCTGGCCTACCATTTGTTCAGTTCAGGAAAGCCTTGCAGCTCCCTGCCTGCCCTGTGCCCAAGTTTACCTCCAATTGTGCAGGGGAAAATGGTGTGTTCTATGCTACAGACAAAACTTGGCCAGCTTATGTACTCTGGAACCAAGACTGGAAAAGCACCAATGACTGCAGGTTGCCCCACACTATGGTCACAGCCAGAGATCACTGCTCTAAAAAAACACTGTTGATGCATTAATGAATTCACTGCTGGTCAGTCTGCAGGGTTTCCTTCTGGAACATCACATCTTGTATTTCAGTAACAACATGCATAATTATTGCATGAACTACATGAGTTCCACATTTCAGTACCTATGCAACCAAGCTAGGACTGAGCATTGATTAGCTTTCCATGACCAGACTGGAAGTTTAGAATCCAGCACCATCAAGTGATACTTTGTATTCAGTCATCTCTAACCAAAATAAATCTCCCCCAAGTTTCCACTCCCAAATTTCTTCTTTGAAAGGAAACTGTACGAATTAAAGATGTACTAAATATCTTCATTAAAGGGCAAAGTGGGTGAAGTTTTCTTAAGGTGACTGTTCACCCCACGGTCAACTCAGAAAAACACACAAAATAAGGGACTCCTACTTGTCTGTCTGAAGAGAATCTAAACCTTTAAAGCAAAATGTGAATACATGCTGCCTTTGCTTCATGCTTCTACAACTAAAAGGACATGCATTCTCATACTTACTTGCATATCTGCTCATATCCTTGAGAAGTTATTAGAACTTTAACACTGGATTCATAAACATCATTGATATTGGACCAGTGAGCCTGAATCTGAGGATCCTCAATACGACTCGCCAGACTGTCAATGGTTCGAGCAGTTCTAGAAGATAAAGCCATATTCCACACACAATAATCCAGGCAGTTTGTGCTGTAATCTTGCTTACAGGAAGCAAGGAGGTTATTAGATTTAATGGAAACATGTGGAGCAAAATTCCATTTCAGCACTGTTTTGGTGCTAATGAAGTACACTTGTTTATTCTGTACATTTCTCATACATTCTGCAGCAGTATTGAACCGGTATTACTCAGTATCAGCTACTGCACTGCTAAGAATACTAAGAAGGTTTTATGCACTTTGAGATAAGTAGGGACAATTATCAGCAGCTTATGTTGCAACTGTCACAGAGATGTCAAAGAAATCTAGTATTTTTTCTTTTTACTAGCTGAATGTTATTTTCTCATGTTTTTTCATAATTTTTGCTTCTTACTACTTACAAAAAAAGACTGTATTAACCATGAAGGAAACAGCAGCTAGTTTTAAGAACACCTAAAATAGATCAATTGTATTCTACCTAATGGTACACGTTACTGTAACAAGAGTATCTTGTGACCCACCTTCGTCTCAAAAATATGTGCTTTGCCTGTTTTATGATCTTCTCCAGAAGTCCTTCATTCGACTGTAAAGAACTGATTTCGTTTTTATCAAAAGCTTGGGGCCCTGCAAGTCTCATTCTCTTATGGCCAAAAGGTGCACTAGCAGGATGTGGCATCACTGTCGAGCTCAGGGTTTGCTTGTGACACTGCAACAACCAACAGATGTTACAAAAGGAAGGGACCAAATAATGTATCTACAAGAAATAATATGTATCCAACAATAAGTTGCTTCACATCAGGTTTTTTGAGGGTACATACTTTCAAAAAGTGCAACTTTTTAACTTTATCAACCTGACTGCACTTTAAAGACAGTTCTTTGTAGTTTGCTTCCTCCATTTATGTGTCTTTCAAACATTATAGAAAGTTAAATTAAAAAAAAAAAGTTAATTAAAAAAAAAAGGGCTAGCTAACAAAAATTTGGTACCATGGCAGTAGTTCCAACTAATAAGTCTTCTTTATATATATCTATGGAGAGAGAAAGAATGGTCACTGGAACAGTCGCTTAAAAATAAACAACGTATTTCAGACAAAAAAAATTGAAGTACAAAAAGTTTTAGCAGTATGTCTAAAGTAAAAAAAATCCACAGGAAAGGTGGGCACTGAGCCAAAGCTTCATGAATCCTAAATCAGTGTTTAAAATACTGGACTGCTCCACATGACTGCATGACTTGCAGAGCCATGCTCTAAGGAGGTGAACACTCTCTGGAACATGGTTTCAATTTTACTTAGAGATACAAAACTGAGCTTCTTGCCTGAAGAGACACAACCTCAACCTCATTCCCCAGGTTCTGCTAGATTATTCAAGAATCTAAAATGCTGAAGCAGAGAAGTGGACATTCAATAAACAAAGCTATTATGGCAATTGATTGTTCCTTCTTGAGGGTATGGCTGACCAGATGCTCACTGACAGTGCTTGGTAAGCACTATTAGACACAACAAAAAAAGGAAGAACTGATGAACTCTACTGGAAAAGCTTTGCATGGCTTTTCTGAAGTGAGCAGCGAGGTCTGAGGTTAAGTAAAGAAGTAGCATGCCACGAAAGCATTAACTGGAACTCCCAAACCACCCACACCCATGGAAATCCAAGCAGCAGGCTGCCTTCCACAAATGGATGGAGAAGGACTGGCCTCTAGTGGCACTCGGCTGTCACACCAGTGCCACACACTGGGCAGAAGGCTGAACAAAAGCCCAAAAACTCTTCAGTACTTCAGCCATAGATGCAGTACCTCTCTGATAAGTTGATGTAAATTATGTTCCAGAACATAGAGATGATCCTCTGGATTCTGTTTTTCAGAAGCAGCCTTTTGTGACTTTTTATCATTGGAGGAGTGACACAGAGAAATAGACAACTGCAAACCTGTACAAACAGATGGAAAAAAAAAGGTTTTAAAAAGTGAGCACTGACAATTTTCAAGGCTGCTATTGAGAACTGCTTTTCTTCATGTTTTATACTCAGTAGTTTAACAACAGGTATTCACTGTATCAGAGAAAAATCAAAAAATGATGGAAAGCACAGCACCAAAGGCAAGTAAAACTTGATATTCACTGAAGTGTTGACAAACAAACTCACCAGGTGCATTTCACGTCAATTTCTATGACTCAATCCCACACAAAAAGAAGTCCCCAGGACCCCATTCCTTTCTCAAAGAAGGAGTGATTAACCATCACACACATTTTAAGCAATCCAGAAACATATTCTTTGATGACACAATCAGTTGTGCACCCCTTGTAAGAACAGAGGATTCACCACTGACTCTGAGCTACCTTTATGCTGTTTAATTATCCTCACTGAAGAGCATTTGCTTTTGTTCTTTGGAGGACCCATAAACTCAAGTCTTAAATTTCTTCTTACATGCAATCCAGGAGCAATGACTTATGCTCAGCTCCAAACTGCCACATGCACATGGCATTACAGCTGACAGTTTTAAGTGCTGCTCACAAAAAACATAACCACAAAGGAAAACAGAGTACATCAGAAACTACTGCATTAGTTGAAATTACGTTTTTCAAAACCTTTGAAAATCAAGGAGTTTATTTTTCCTTTTGTAAGGATCAACCATTAAAAATGTGACATCAGTCAGTATTTAAGGAAATAATTGTAGGTTAAGCATCTTAAAAAGCATCCTACCTGGGAAAGGCTGGGAGATTATCTGATTTTTCACTACAATGTGAGGAATCTGTGATTTAATTTGAACAGCTTCTCGTGACAGCTGGGCAAAAATTTCTTTACATAGAAGAACGTTCTGTGCAGTCTCCAACTTTGTCTGCCAGTGTGCTGAACCTGAAAAGTATAAATCAATGTTTGCAGGAGGGAAGAAGAGAAGCCACCTTTTTGTTCAGATGCCAAATATTATGCAGTAGCCAGGTGTGATCACTAAGATAAAGCAGTCAGTGCCTTATACCCAAACTGAGTATTATCAGAATTTTATCTCAGTTAAGCAAGCACTTTAAGGTAAAACTGAAACTAATTTTGATTCAATTTTACATATATGTGTATTGTGAAGTGCAACACCCTTATGGAGCAGTGTATTACACTCCCAGGCCTTTTGAGAAGGCCTCTCTTTATGAACCTGTGCTCCTTAAGTTGCAGTTTACTTTCAATGCTACTTCTGGCTTTATTAAATTCACTCTATGATGAACTACCTGATAATGTTCAGTGCATGTATGTGGTTTCACAGGGTTTATAGACCCAAAATTCTTGGGAGATTCCAGAGTGAGTAAGCACACAAGCTGCACAATGTACCCCAATACCGTATAAAACACCTCATAGTACAGCACTCTGTCTATTTCAGGACAGCACCAACATCTACATCAGACAACTGCAACATAAAATCCTGCCAGTTTATTTCTAACTTTACAGAGTAAAGGATGGGTTTTTTATCCAAAAGTTTACAACTTCACATACTGGCACATATTAAATGAATCAGTATACTATCTGCCAGGGGAGCTGTTGGTAATTAACACACAGACCACCAGCAGAGTTTCAGATCCAGATAAAACATATCAGCAACAGACACAAATGATGTATTTTGGGCATAGTTAAGAGTGAACAATCACTAGTTCAGCTGAATTAATGGGATGTAACTGACTGAAACACAACACCTTGGCTTGATTTCAGTTATGGGCTCAAACTTTTAATGTCTAACAAAAGGAGCTCCAGAATACACAAAATACAACCACAATAATTTTGTTTCAGAACTGAATAAACACATATGAAAAACTGAAGGAGCATGCTTCAAAAGCATGATTTCCAAAGCCCAAGAAGCACCCAAACAGAAAATTTCAGTTTAAACAAGGGAAGTCTTATTCACTCTTCTTCCCAGCTATATGCTGAAATTTTAAAACAAGCCTCATATCCAAAGTCATCCCTTGAGAACATATTCATAAAACAACATATAAGCTGTACCTGGTTTTGATTTTGGCAAGGGTCTTTTGAAGAGATTGACTGTCCCAAGGTCACCAATGTCTGGTGCTTGTTTTTGAATAGAAACCTAGGCAAGAGAGAACAGTATTTAATGTTTGTTCTCTGTTGCAAGCACACAAATCTGAAACAGAAGTCACTAAGTTATTCAGGTTTCTCTGACAAACCTTGATGTATGCTGATCCCTCTAAATCACTTGGAATTTGAACATCCAAAGGACAGTAATCCTCAGGTATCTTTTTATCCAGGTCAATGTCAGTGTTCTTTATTACCTCAAATGTGCCATGATGAAGAAAAAGGGAGCCTGAATAAAGAAGGACAAATACATACACATAAATAAATAAATAAATATTTTTTTTATTAAGCAATAAATATTAAGCACCTCTGCAAATAAAAAAAGCTCATATTTCTGTTTTGGAAGAATATGTAATGCTCAGTCTCCAAATCTTCAGAGCTGCACTTGACTCATATTTCCTAATGACTTCTTAAAAAAACCCAGGTAAATTAGGAAGCTCATGCCACTGTACCAGCATGTCAATCCTCCACTGTGCAATATGTAATATTTTACAGTAAGTTAACACAGAGTATTCAATAATTATGGGAGAAAGCCAAGAATTTTTTGAAATTGAGTCATTAGGTGCAAGGAAGGAAAAAAAAAAAAGATATTTGGTAAAAAAAACCAAAAACCCAAAAAACACAAAAAGTAAATGTGTGAAGTTTTGCAAGCAGGTAGTTAGTTAAAGTAAGATACCCTTCTTGATTTAAAGGAATTCTGATGATGTCTGCCTAGAAATCTTAAAACTATGACCATGTTCTGACTGTAAAAGGTAACTCTATAGCCAGTCATTTAGGGACTGATAAAAGCAGACACCTACATCTGTCCTAGCTGCGCACCTTTTTCATTCGGGGCACAATTCACTTAGCCCAGGGTAAAACATCTAAAAATGATACATAGCCTGGGGTACATCTGCAGCTTTTTCATGGACAAGTCTCAATTTGTCCTTCCCCTCCCTCACCAATGACAACAGGAACCCAACACATCCGTTCCTCATGCCTGCTTTGTACCTACATCGCAGTTCTGTGTGATTCTGTATTCACTTTGTCACCCCATAACAGCCCCCAGAACCTGGGCTGCTCACCCCCCTTTAAATGTAATCCATGAATTAAGGCATATTCTCAGCATCATTTCTCAGCTGTAGGAATAACAGGTACAATAATCTACCTTCAACATCACTCTTTAGCCACATGGTTCAGTTTCACCTGGTGTAAATACTGAGGAGCAGGGAGTTAGACATCATAAGCCTTTTGGGTCCCTTCTAACTTGAGAGAATCTAGGATTTTCTGATCTTTGATTTAAAAAAAAAAGGTAACCAACTCTTCACCTTTTTTAATGCTTTACACACCAAACGTAGATAAAAGCCAAGGATTTACAAAGTCTGTGTGTCAGCTGATCAACTACATTCAAATGCAGTATTGTTTTTGTGAACAAATTCTTCGTAAAATACTACAATTGGCCTTCAAAATCACTTTCTGGATTGAAGATGCCAAGGTATTTTCCCTGATACTAAAACAAGAGTTGTCCCTTTATAAACCTATCTCATAAATAAATTCACATTGAAATTAAGAGAGATTCCATCTCTTTTTCCAGTTACAGAAAGACAATTTCATAAAATATCCCTTCTTGTGAAAAAGATCCTACTGTTTACCTGCACTTCTGTAGCTCAGATCACCAAGAATTTTATCTCCCACTTTTCTCAGCTTCCAGTGTTGTCTCAATCTTAGCAGTTCAGAGTTGAAGTCTCTTTGTCGCTTATTTTCCTGATTTTCAGCAACTGATTTGGATAATCTTTCTGCACCTTTCAACAGGATCTGAGCTGCTCCAGCTAATGACTTCTTTTTTGAAATCAGCTGTAGAAACTGAGGATTCTAGTACCAAACACAACAACAAGACACTTGCACTTTAATTCACAAAATACTACTATTATTTATTATGAATAATTTAAATTAATATTTATTTATTATTAGTGGAAACTAACTGACAGTGACTGATACATTGCTTTTGCTGGATGACCAGTAATTTATTCAGAATTACTTTCATACCACCATTATGTGATTGGAAGCAGCATTTTGACTTAGAGCTTCAGCAAAGAGGCTTCTGAAATTGGCCTCAACTCCCATTTCCAGCCTCACTCTGACCCTCAATGCACTGCACTAGCACATCAAAAGGAACATTTTGACAAATTTTGTACGTATCACACGTGAAAAAAAATCCACTGGAATAAAATCATTAGCATCAAGACACACAAAGTCCTCAACTAGGTACAACATACTTGTTTTGGAGGAAGGGGATCCTGCCCGACTGGATCTAGAGTCATGAACTTTTTATCCTTCACAATGCTAAGGACATCATACAGCACACACATCTCAGTCAAGGCACTTCTTAAGTTGTTCCTCACTGAATCCCAAGGCCAGAGGGATGGCTGGAACTTTACCAACCCTAAAGAGAAAACAAAGGAAAGAAAAACAAAGGGCTTTACAAAGGTACGGTGTAAGGCTCATTTTTGAACCACAGAGAGATCATAACAGCACGACATCCAACCTGCTGTTGTCCTTTCCCTCTCCAATTTACCGGGGCTGGGTCACGAACACTGCGACCACTCCCTGGGGAAGGCAGGCCAGGCCCAGCCACCCGCGGAGCCGCAGGCACAGCGCGGCGGGCCTCCAGCAGCTGCACCCCGGCGGAGGGCTCGGGCCGGCGGCCCTTCTCACCTTCCTCATCCTCCGTCTCGCCCGGCTCGGCCCAGGGCCGGCCCGCAGAGCCCGGCTCGTCCTCCTCGGAGCCGGAGCCCTGGCTGAAGTCGATGCGCTGCGCCAGGCGCGCCAGGTTCTGGGACATGGAGAGAGGCTGGAGGTAGGTCTCGCTGCCATCCAGCCCCACCTCCTGCACCTGCTTCTCGCACGCCGACTCGATGCTGATGCGCACGGCCGGCACGCCCGCCATCTTGGAGCGACCCCCGCCCGCAGGCGGCAGGGGGCGGGACCGCAAAGGAGCGGGACCAGTGCCGGGCGGGCTCGGCTATTTCCGGAGAGAGCTCGGAAGGAGGCGGGGCCAGCGCCGAGTGGGCTCGGCTGCCTCCGGCGGCACTCGCGAGGGGCGGGGCGAGCGCAGTGAGGGGACGGTGCCGAGCGCAGAAGCTCGGAGGTGCTGCCATTTTTTGTAAGGCCTTATTTTTCACCAGAAGCTGGTTTCATGTCCCGTTCTAAACATAACTTCACCTCTAGTTCCCCGTGGTCAGCTGTGGCCACGCAGGAAGTTCAGCCAAACAAAAGGAAAACATACAATAACATTGCCATTAAATTACCATTTGAATTCGGTCATAACTCCAATGACACGTATGCGCCGAGTTCTGCCCTTTGACAAAAGTAAGAAGGCAGCAGCTAACTATTCTCATATTTATTCTTAAATCTGGTAAGCGATGATCGAAATCATTACAAAAATCAGCATTTGTACTTGAGGAAGACGCAGTCGGCCCGCAGGCTCAGTCTCTCCCGACGAGGTGCGTCTCCTGGGGCCGGTCAATGCGGAAGAGCAGCTCGGCGGGCTGGAAGTAGCCCAGGTACTGCACGTTGTCCGGGCTGGTGTCCTGGTGGTAGTGGCCTCCTTCCCCGTGGTGGCTGAAACAGTGCGTGTGCTCCACACGCAGATCGAAGCCCTGCCACCAGACAGAGGCCCGTCATCAACGCGCTCATGGGAACAGTAAAAGTCACAGGATAGTCTATCCTAATATGTATTTCCACACATCTCCAAGCAGTGAAAACTCACAAGATACTTGTGAAACCAATAAGACAAAACAATTTAGAAACCCTGACAGCCCCCAAGTTTTGGTGTTAATCTGCCTGAGATGTCCTTTTGAACCCTTTTCTCCCCCCCACCTTTCTTTCCACTGGGATTAAATAATGCAGTCACACCAAGGAACCTCTACTGGAAATCAAACCACTTTGCACTGAATTGCCACAGGCCCATGTGGTAAATGGATTGTCTCCAATACTGAGAGCCAGCTTAGATGAATATGGGAAGAACAATGAATAAAATAGCAACTAACATCCTAAACCATGAGATCAACATCACCAGTTTTATGTATCTTAGAATGGGTTGGGTTCAAAGGGACCTTCACAGATCATCTATTCTAACCCTGTCATGGGCCGGGACATCTTCCATTCAACCGGCTTGCTCAAAGCCCCATCTAACCTGGCCTTGAACACTCCCAGGGATGGAGGATCCATATCTCTGGGCAACCTGTTCCAATGTCTCTCCACACTTAGCATAAAATTTTTTTTCCACGTGTCCAACCTAAATCTGTTCAGTTTCAATTTAAAATCCTTGCCTGTCCTTTTGTTGCTACACGTCCCAGTAAAAAGTTTTTCTTCATGTTTCCTAGAAGCCTCCTTTAAGTACTAGAAGGCTATGATAAGGTCTTTCTGGAGCCTTTTCTTCTCCAGGCTGAACAATGTCAGCTTCCAGTCTTTCTTCTAGGAAGAGGTATTCCAGCCCTTGGCTCATTTTCATGGCCCTCCCTGTGCCCTGCTCTAACAGGTCCACATCTTTCTTGGGACCCCAAAGCTACAAGCAGCACTCCAGCTGGGGTCTCATGAGGGAAAGAATTGCCTTGCTTGACCTGGCCACACCTAGTTTGACATAGCCCAGGACATGATTAGTTTCCTGGGCTGCAAGGGGATACTGGTGAAAAGTGCTATGGCATTGGAATGCCATCGTCTCCTGCTCTTCTTGTGGTGACACTCAGACATTTCCAAAACCACAGGCCTAGCCAAGTGCTGTTGGGCTTGCAGTGGATGCAAACAGGAGAAACCCAGAGGCATCCACCACACAAGTTACATTTGTTCTGAATGGAGCAACTGCAGATGGCTGCTTTCAAAGGACGGTCAGTGGATTATGGGAAGATACAGTTTAGCCCTAGGCCAAAGGCTGCCACATAATGACACAATAAAATCACACCCTTCAACATATTTAAGCCTACAGTATGTCTCACCCCTGGAAAAAAAAACGTTTTTATATTACTTATGACTGCGTTGTTATTTATAAAATAGCCATTTTCATCTATGGTTTTCTGGTTACTTTTAAACAAATAGTTTTCCTAATTATGAACACCTTAATGGTTTTTGAAACCAGATTGGTTTTATCCTGAATTATTTGCTGTTGAACTTGGTGCTTGTGAAAGATGCTAGGTAAGTTTCCACCATGAGACTTTGCAGACTGTAATTTACATCAGCAGTGGGACATATGCTTCATGTCTTTTGACACAGCATTAGCAGAGAGATTTGTTATGAAAGTGAACTGCATAAACAGGTGGCTGAACCACCTTCCATGCTCTTGACATTTCTCCCAGTGTGGCCAGCAGTGAATGTAAACTGTACTGTTGGGTTTGGGGTGCAAACATGTGCTCACATACAAGAGAACCATGAAGTTAATCCACTATGAACAAGCACTAGGTTTCAGAACAGATTCACCTAGCCTCAATTCAGACAATTCAAACAGCTCACAGAAATGAGAAGCTTCTCAATCATTGCCCCAGCTCTGGAAGAGTCCAACACTATATATATATACACACACACACACTCACTCCCATTCTTGAAAGGAAAATCACATCCAAGAAAAAATTCATTACAGGTCTCAGTCTATACTTAGAAAGGAAAGAGACTCACCGGGTCTCTGGAAACTATTACTGGCTGACAAATCAGTGGAGCCTTCATTTCAAAGAATTTGAGCCAGTTATTCACATCCTCATCAGTATTCAGGGGACAGGCAGAAAATTCTGGAGGCTAGAGCAAAAATAAAAGCTTTTTAAGTAAAAGGAAGACACTTGCATCAGGATACTTTTTCTCTAGCAACTTTGCTTTTCCCCTCCCCACTATTCTGTTCATTTTCCTTATTGACTGAAAGAAGCTCACAGTGTCCATCACTCTGTTTCTGGAAGAAACAGAAGCGACCAGAATATTACATATTTTATTGCACAGGTAGTGAGAGAACTGAAGTGAGGATGCTCCTTCTCCTGGTACATGTTAAAAGCTCAGTTATTTTTAAAAAAGTTTAATGCTTCTTACAAGTATCATCTGAGTTCATGTATTTCATTTCAATTCATGTTACAATAGTTCTCCAGTTCTTTAGCTGCACACAGATTTCAAAATATGATGGCATTAGTGCCAACTAAAACAGAATTACTAGTTTTGTAACACTGATTTGTAATGTCAACTCCTTACTTTAATACAGTGCTCATCCTAATAGTTTATACATACATTTAAAAATACAGAATAAAGTGAAGGAACTAAGATGTTACACCCTGATTTATACTTCTGTTTTCAGGAAGACAAATAAAGTTACGTGCATTGAGAACAACGTACCATAATGTGAATCTTTGCTTTCCCCTTCTGAATGATAAATGTACCACCCATCCCAACAGGCTTCTCTCCATAGTGTTTCTCTAAAGTTTGTCTCAGACAGGTCACAAAGTTAAGCTCCCCAGTTCTTCCATTGGCTTTCACTTCAATGACCTGGAAGATAAAGTCAGTTTGTCACTGCCGTCTCCTGCCGCAATAGTCTGAAAAGGTCTGTGAAAGCTGTTCTGAAATTATCCCAAGCTGATAACCCAAGATCACTTTTTGAAAAGATAAGCTTCCATGCAAGCACTGCTGCATTTGCATCTTTCCAGTTTGTGACCAACTCTCTTTTCCCTAGTTCTGTTCAATGCTAGCTTTGCCTGTAAAGGGAGCTGGGTAGCAAGAGATTTACCTATACATGAGACAGTGACTTGAGCAACTCCCTTCTGTCCACCAGCTGGCTTCCACTCTGTCAGGAAGAAACACTGGGTAACGGAGAAGGCCGTTCAGTTTCCATGCAGCACTAAGGTTTTCGACTGTTCTGCCAGCACCTCGTAGTGCTAGCTGTGTCAGGAGAAGCACTTGTGCAAAAAACTGCCTAAGTGCCCGCGTGTCATTTACACGAGTACACTGCACCATTACCTTAAGTCACTGCTAGTTTGGATTGGATTTGGATAAATGGTTTATGATGGAAAAGTTTTTGTAAACTAATACCTATCCCTCAAAAATTCAAATGTCCATGTCTGCACTAATTCTTTTCCTCAATCACTGGCATCAGTTCCTTATTTTTGCATATTTCTCTTATGGAATTACTATTTTACTATTATCACAGAATGTTGATAGGAGAACCATCATTCAGTCACAAAGCACTGCAAAATCACCTTAGATGGAAGTACATACCTTACCAGGTTTGCCCTCGCTGGCATAAAGGTTGGCCAACAGTCCGAACTCACAATCAGTGTATTTACTGCTGTACTTCTCAAGCAGGCACCCTTTATCTGCAGGGTTTATCTGAGCAATGTAGCTCCCATTTACAGCAGGCTTTTTTTCACTCTTAGTTTGAACAATAGGGATAAACTAGGATAAAGAACATGTAAGAATAAGTCAATAAGAACATCTAAGAATCAGCCAATCAAACTGAACTCAGATAAACGTAATTTAAGCTTTGGACCATGATCCCAAGAAAAAAATCCACTTCATCACACAGCTCTGTCTCTCAGGATGAGGTTTGTACTGGTAAGAAAAATGCACTAATATTGTAATGTAATTGAAAGGTCCAGAAAACAGGTCTACTTTTTCTGAATAATTAAACTTAATGTTATATAAAGATGAATGCTAGTGTTAAAAAAAAAAAAAAAAAAACAAAAGAAAGAAAAAAAATCTATAGTCTGCATGCAAGTATTGGAATTCTATGCAATACTCTCTCAGTGTACAGTAACAACCACTATTATAGAGGCCCAAATTTAATGCTGATATGGACTATCTCATCTACCAATAAATCCATCAAAAGGAGACAGCAAGACCAAAGGTTTATGCCTGAAAAAAACTGTGATTAACCAAGGTCTCCATAGGCAATAGTTTTTGTCTCCTACCCCTCCTGCAGTTTTTAATTTTTTATGTGATATCTTTAAAATTCACAACGGTGAAGCAAAGTCATCCAAGAGGGCAAAAGACAGGGAGTATCTCAAAGGCATTTACCAGTA